CCTCCACTGCATATTCCAGGATATCAGGTGATTGAGAGCCTTGGTGTGATTGTTACAGCCCTCAGGTCTGCAGAAGGGGGATTCCTGGCAGTCAAGGGGAGGAGCCATGGTAAGGAACCTGAGCATTGAGCAGACCACTCATCACAGAACAGAGGCTGTCTCATAGAGCCCTCCATGTGATATCATCCCTCAAAGGGGTCCCTGGGGAAGATATGTTAAACTGAGTCCTCCCTAAACTCTTCCTCAAACCTTTCAAAAATGTGAGATTCTTGCTATGAGGGGATAGGTCTAAAGTCAGCCAAGAGAGGACTCCTAGGCCCTGCAAGAGGCCAAGGTGAGGACTCTAAGTGAGGAGTGAGAACCCTAATATCCCAGGATGGGGAAGGTTCCACATAGCTTTGCCATTGCTGTCATCTCAGGGTACCCCTGGGCAGATGTGCTTAGATGTGATTCCCTTCAGTTCCTCCTCCAGTATGTCAGGGAGGTGAGGGCTTTGAAATGAGGGGTCAGCATCAAATCGGTTAAGCAGAGGACCTTAGGTCCTGCAAGAAGTCAAGGTAATGGTGCTGAATGTGAATGGAAACACCCCCTACTCCACAACAGGGGAGGCACCACAGAGCCTGGATCTGCCAAACCCTATATCAACTCCAGTAGGACTCAGGTAGGGGTGGGAAGCTTCAGCCCAAGGTGAACCCTAGTTACTTCCAGAGTCCTCAGGGGAAAGGCTAACTCATGAAGGGGAGCCTTGTGGGATCCTAGAGCAGTGCCTTCAAGGAAACCTGGAGAGATGGCTGTTGATAAAGCCCAAGATGGTATCTCCCTGTCAGAGGATATCACACCATTTCATCCTCTTTCCTCCAGGTTACCAAATCATCTATTGTCTTTTCCACACTCGTGCCTGCTCTCCCTGACCAGAATCATCATGCCTCGCGGCCAGAAGAGTAAGCTTCGTGCCCGTGAAAAACGCCGCCAGGCTCGAGAAGAGACAGGGCATGTGGTGGCTGCTCAAGCCACTGTACCAGAGGAAGAAGAGTCCCCCTCTTCTCCTTCTCCTCATTTCAAAGATGCTCCCCAGAGCTCATCTGCCACTGGAACACCCAGCAATCCTCAAGTTACTGGGAGAGTCCGCTCCACCAGCACTACTACTGCAGCTGCTTCAAACACAAGATTTAATGAAGGTGCCAACAATCAAATGGAGAAGCCAAATGCCTCACAGGCCAGGGATACCACTGAGCACTGGCACAGAAGTCCTGTAGACAAGAAGGTTGCTATGTTGGTATACTACCTGCTCTACAAGTATCAAATGAAAGAGCCCGTTACCAAGGCAGATATGCTGAAAAATGTAATCCAGATTAACAAGAATCACTTCCACGAGATCCTCCAGAAAGCTTCTGAGCACTTGGAGCTGGTTTTTGGCCTTGATGTGAAGGAAGTGGATCCCAACAGGAACACCTATGTTCTTGTCAACAAATTGGAATCCACCTATGATGGGAGAGTAAATGATAATGGAGGTGTGCCCAAGACTGGCCTGTTGATGACCGTCCTGGGCGTGATCCTCACAAAGGGCAACTGTGCCACTGAAGAGCAAGTCTGGGAAGTGCTGAATATGATGGGGTTATATGATGGAATGAAGAATTTCATCTATGGGGAGCCCAGGAAGCTCATCACCCAAGATTGGGTGAAAGAAGAATACCTGGAGTACCGGCAGATAGCCAACAGTGATCCTCCACGCTATGAGTTCCTGTGGGGTCCCAGAGCCCATGCTGAGACCAGCAAGATGAAAGTCCTAGAGTTTGTGGCCAAGATTCATGATACCGTCCCCACTGCCTTCCCATCCTGGTATGAAGAGGCTCTGAGAGATGAGGAAGAGCGAGCCCGAGCCAAGGTTGTAGCCAAGGCTTGTACTGCTGCTATGGCCAGTGCACGCTCCAGGGCCATGGCCAGCAGCTTCTCCTGCCGCAAGTGAAGTTTGAGGAAGGTTATTACTATGTGTTTGAAGAGAACAGCTAATGTTCTCATTAGTGAAAGGTCAGGGTGGGGCTGGAGACAAGAGAGTACATAACACGTTTGTGTTCCTATTTTAGGTAGTAACCTGGATATTTGTCTAAATGTTGTTTTTTTTGTTTTGTTTTCTTTTTTGAGAGAGAGAGGGTGAGCATGGCGGGGAGAGGCAGAGGGAGAGAGAGAAACTTAAGCAGGCTCCACGCCCAGCGCAGAGCCCAACACGACCCTGAGATCATGCCTGAGCCAAAATCAAGAGTTAGACACTTAACCAACTGAGCCACCCAGGCACCTCAGTGTTGTTCCTTTTAATAGAAGGTTTAACTAGCTTCAGAATCTGAGTTTGTGAATGATGTAAATCACACATTTATTGACGTTTATGAGTTTTAAGAGTAAGAGTTTTATTATTTTATAGAACAAATTGGGACATTTTCCATTTTATTGAGTTACTTGGAATAAGATAACGTAGTGGATTTGGCACTTCCTTGGAAATATGAGAGAACTCAGCAGTAAAATGCTGGAATCAAGAAATAGAGAAAAAAGTAAAAGATGATAGATTTTTGTATTCCTTTATCACTATTTGGTCTGTTCTGTAAAATTAAGAGAGATATATACTTAAATGTGCTTAGTTTATTCAAGAATGTAGAATTAATTATAGCATAATAAATTAGACCTCTTGCACACTGTCTCATTTATTTCACAGACATTCCTTCAGCATCTGCTCTTTGGGAGGCTTCCTGCTAGTACTGGGAGTGTCAGGATAAACAAGACCCGCCCACTGTGCCCATAGAATTTTAGAGTGTAGAAACAGCTGTCAAGTAGGAAAGAGGATGGGATACACCCTAAGACCTAAGAACAAGTCAAAAGAAGGAGAGGACATGGGAGGATCCAGATGTGAGAAGTCAAGTGTAAGCGCCCTGAGGCCAGTGAGTCTGAGGCCTTGGGAAACTGCAAGTCGTTTGGTGTGAGTCAGTTTTACCTGAAGCTGGGTGGTGGATCAGATGAGGCTGTGGGAGTCGTGTGCGGGGGCCAGACCCTCAGAAGCTGTGTCCAGAGTTAAGAGGCTAAAGCCTGGAATGGAAAACTGTTTCTAGCAATTACTTTAAGATCATGAATTAACCAGAGAGAAATCTCCACCTGGAACAAGAATGGAAGGTATCCTGCATCCTTTCCCACTGTTCTTTTCCCAGTGCAGTTGAGCACAGCACACAAACTGTTTTATGCACACCATCCCCAGGGAGTTTCTGAGAAATAAGAGTGATACACAACATGGGTATGCTCAGAAGCCACTGTGCTAGCAATCTTTGCTCTGGCCTGGAAGAGACAGCCCACTGCATTAAAGTTCATTTTATTAAGTTGTGTGTAATTTGGCAAACTCCCAAGTGAGGGCTAGATTTTTAATGGAACTGAAATAAAGGAAAATAGAGGTGGTTTGGATGGAAGGACAGTTGGAGGGAGGTCGTTCTTGACACAAAGGACCCTTAAGTTCCACCTAACTGGGGAAGACTCCCTCAACATGCAATAAGTAACATATGCTAAAAACTTGCAGAGTAAGTAATTTAGCTTTATTTGCTATGCATCATGTTGGCTGATCTGTTGTGCTGTCTCATAGTGCTGCATATTCACTGATACCTCTTGGATAAAAAAAAATCACAGAGCAGATTTTACTAGAGTCTGAGGTCAAAACAGTAAGAGTAATAACTGAAAATTATTAAAGGCTCAATACATGCCAGACACTATGCCAAGTGCTTTCATACATTATATACATGCCAGGAGTCCTACACAGCAGGGCTTCTCTAGCTCATTTCATAGAAAAGCCTTATAGAGCTTTTTTTTTTTTTTTAAAGATTTTATTTATTTATTTGACAGAGACATAGTGAGAGCAGGAACACAAGCAGGGGGAGTGGGAGAGGGAGAAGCAGGCTTCCCGTGGAGCAGGGAGCCCGATGTGGGACTCGATCCCAGGACCCTGGGATCATGACCTGAGCCGAAGGCAGACGCTTAACGACTGAGCCACCCAGGCGCCCGAAAAGCCTTATAGAGCTTTGAAAGTTTCCTGACTTTACCTGGTTCATAAATGTCAGAAGTGGGGCTGGACTTATGGTCTGAATTTATTTAGGGTCCCTCACTCTTTCATGTCTTCTTGAATTAAGCAAATGTTTTTGTTGTTGTTTTAAAGATTTTATTTATTTACTTGAGAGAGAGAGTACATGCGAGGCGGGAGGGTCAGAGGGAGAAGCAGACTCCCTGCCAAGCAGGGAGCCCGATGTGGGACTTGATCCCGAGACTTTAGGATCATGACCCGAGCTGAAGGCAGTCGCTCAACCAACTGAGCCACCTAGGGGCCCGAATAAAGCAAATGTTTTGTCTCTTAATTCATTTCTACTCTCTATTCCACAGTGTCTCTCAGGAAAGACGAAGGACCCTCTTGCCAATGTATTAAGCCCAGGTGTGATAAATAAAAAAGAAAATGAGAATTAAAAACAATTTCAGGATAGTCTGTGGGCTTAATTTACCTAGGCTCCTACTTCTATCCCCAGAGTTCCTTGAGAGCTGACTCCACCCAGGTCCCAGCACTTGGGACCAGTTCCAGAACTTCCTGAATTACATCACTCTTGCCCTGGGTCTTCCTAGTGTGCCCTCATGTCAAAATCTGGATCCTGACCAGCTGTCCAGCTTCCTTTCATCAGGCCGCACTCTGTTCCCAATGAAACAGAAAGCCCAGAATTGCCTGCCTTTCCCCTAACTTAGAGCATTCCAAACCCTTGAAGATGTCCGCTGTCTGTCCCATCCCTGACCATGGAACTCCTATGAAATAAGAACGGTCCCATCCACGTGGCTGTTTACTTTGGCAGGAAAGTTCAGACTACTCATCTGCTCTGGGTGCTTCTCTCTCACTCAAAGTTTTTTCCAACTCAGGTTGTGAGCAGTCTGATTTGGCACAGGATGTATTGATTCTTGTAAGATAACCCTGAAGTTAGGGAAGAAGTTTTAGAAAGCAGATGAAATTCTTAAGAAAGAGGAATTTAATCTGATCAATTATTTGAGACTGGCCACTGAACCCATATACAGATAAGTGAGCTTAACTAAGTGGTCAAGAACCAAAACCTTCCTCCTGAGTGGTAGATGAGGAGTGCTGGAAGAAATCACTATATAGCAACCATTGGCAGAGGCTGGATTCCTAAAATCTCGGGTGTCCTTCTAGGAGGATGTAGATACTTTCTACTGCTGACAAACAGATTGCCATAAATCAAGGTACTTTACAACAACACAAATTTATTATCTCACATTTGTGTAGGTAATATATTTGGGTTGGCTGTGCAGATTTCTTTGTTCAGGGTTACACAAAGCCCAAATCAAGCTGTCAGTCTGGGTTCTTATTGAGAGATACTGAGAAGAATTTCATTCCACACATACACACGTTACTCTCAGAATCCATTTCTATGAGGAATTCAGTGCTTTGTGATTATAAGACTGAGGCCCTGTTTCCTTGCTGACTGTTAGCTGGAGCTGCCATAGCTCCTCAAGGTCTCTCTCCAATTTTTGCATATGGGCCCCTACTTCAGAAACAGCACGTTGACTCTGTCTTGTGTGGAAACTCTCCTACCCCCACTCTGCTGCATCTCTCTTCTGCCTCCAGCCAAACAAAGTCCTCTGCTTAGAAGTGCTCATGTCATTAGACTGGGCCCACTCAGATAATACAGTATAATCTCCCTATTTTAAGGTCCATTTCAAAATTTTAATTACATATGCAAAGTGCCTTTGGTCATGTAACATAACATATTGACAAGTTTTAGAGATAAGGGTATGGGTATCTTTGTGGAACAATTATTCAGTTCACCACCAAGGCAGAAAATGTCTCCCTGGCAGACATGCCAGCTTTGATAAGAAAAGAAAAAAATTCGCCAGCATACATCTGACTCTTGTCTATATCTGCACCAGAGGAAAATCTTAGTTTTTCAGTGTGCTTAAAGATACCTGAACAAGTGTTCAGACATGTTCTTCAGGTGGTGGATAGCAGAGACTCACAAGTTATAGGTTTTTTCATGCAGCAAAAGGAAGGAGAAAATTCTCAGTGTATTGAGAATATAGAGGTTATCGGAAAGGTCAGTGCAGAAAGGTGCTATAGAGTGAAAAAGGGTGACACCTCTCTGCTGAGATTTTCAATGGCCTTTAGAAAACTGGTGTGATCCTGTATTTGAAAACACTAGTCACATAGGGGCACTAGAAAAAGTTGTTGAATTGCAAGGAAATTTGATCTTGGAAAATCCTCCAGGAACAAAGAGGGCTAATGTCATAAATTATATTAGTTGTTCTTTTCTGAGTACCTATTATGTAACCGTTAATGGGAAGGTCCACAGATGCTCAAGACACTTCATGTATTGCTCTCTATCCTTGTCTCATACGGAGGCTACCTGCCAGTGGTTACAAAGGGTCATGTAACTATCCTTGACACTGAAGTATGAGCAGAAGCATGCCTCTCACCTCCAGACAAAGGTATTTGAGAACTAGTGTGCCACCTCCATGCTTTTTGTTTCCTTGAGCCGCAAACATGCCAAGCCTGTATTGAGATGTGGAAGCTCATGATGGAAGCACCCTGGATCCCAGGGTCACCTGACAATGAAGACACCCTGCCAATGCCCATCAGATTTTATGTACATAAGAAATAAAATTTTGTTATGTTAAGTCATTCACAATCAGATTTTTCCCATTACATCTCATATACTTTTTCTGAAAACTACACAGATACTATTTCTGTTCTCTTATTTAAATATTTTAATTACAAAGAAAATAGGGCATATATTCTTGTTGCCAAAAAATTCTAACAATAGGGATAGATTATAATTCTTTTTCCTTACTATGTTCCTTCAAATTTTATCCCTTCCTAGAGGTAACTGCATTAAAAAATCTTGCATGTAGTATTTTAAGACTGATTCTAGGCCTATTCTTACATACATGTGTTAGAAAAATACAGTGAGTTTTAAAAATACATGTGTAACAGTATACATATCATTTTGCCTCTTGCCCTTGTCCCTGAATAAAATAAATGCAGGATTTTTCCAAGAGAGCACAAATAGATCCACCTCACTCTGTTAATTCTAGAATTCTAAAGTGCATATGTGCCATAATTATTTTATTTTTTTTTAATTTTTTTTTAAAGATTTTATTTATTTGCGAGAGAGAGAATGAGAGACAGAGAGCATGAGAGGGGGGAGGGTCAGAGGGAGAAGCAGACTCCCTGCTGAGCAGGGAGCCCAATGTGGGACTCGATCCCAGGACTCCGGGATCATGACCTGAGCCGAAGGCAGTCGCTTAACCAACTGAGCCACCCAGGCGCCCTGTGCCATAATTATTTTAAACATTCTCCTCTTGATGGACACACAAGTTGTTTCTCACGTCTTGCTATGATTAAGAGAACTGATATCAACATTACTGAACATCATTTTTTGGGCAAATGTGGATGTTTTATTATGGAGAGATGTAGAAAAATGCAATTAAAGTGGAAAAAATCTGATGACAGTGAATTTTTATGAATATTGATGATATTCTATTCTAATAATGTTATACCAAATTATCTTTTCATATATTTATATATATGAATAAATTAAGCTCTCAATGGCATTTTATTTTATCAATTTTAAATTTTGGGCAAACTTTTGATCGAAAATATATTATCCCTCTGCTAGTTTAACTTGTATTTCCCTATTTTCTAAACAGATTAAGCAGAAAATTAATTTCATCATTCACCCATATAAAGCAAGATTTCTGCAGTGATATCTTAGGTACTAGGATTCCTTTGGGTGCATAGTTTAAAATTCTATGTCCATAAGACTTTCCCCTTTACTTTGAGAAGCTAGGATTTATCAGAATGACCAGGTGCCAGGAAATGGGCCTGGACAGGAAAGCATCAATGAGTGAGAAACATCAGGAGGACCAGGGGTGGAAGAAGTAGAGCAATTTCCAGAATCCATGAGAGAGATCACATACTAAAATAAGACCAGAGAACCCAGGGCAGCTGGCAGTCAGGAATCTGAATGCAGGCTTCAGCAAAGCATAGAAAAGATGCCAGAAGGGGAGAACATGGAGAATCTGGTGGAGGGTACCAGACAGCTTACATGAATAGGTCAGGGAATCTCTGAATCATCACTGCCAGCCCAAAGTTGTAGAGTGATATAAATGGGTAGATGTACTGGATAAAAGGACCAGAGGCATGCCCAATACCCGCCCCCACCCCCCACCTCCGCCAAAAATGCCCCCTGACCATTGTCAGACAGAGTAGAGCTGGCTCCCCTGTGTCACCCACCAAGTAATGTTACTGATGGAATCTGGAAGAGCTACAGCTCTTCACTACTCTAATCGTTCCATGCATCCTTGCCAGTGACCAAAGTTATGAGTGATCTTGATGCCTGATGAAGGCTATTTGTTCCCCTATGTATGTGGCCCTCCTGCCACTGAGATTGAAGCTATGCAAGCAGGTGGGCTTGGTTAGTGAATCAGAATGTTTAAAATAGGGCAAGTATTACCAATGAGTGCTGGAAGGGGGTGTGCAGCGGCAAGGAGGGAAAACTAGAGGGGGAGTTCATTGAGGCTAATTACCCCAGTGGCCCTGGGAATAAAGGGCTGAGTGTAGACATGCCTTGAAAAACAACCCAGGTGTTATCCCCAGCTCTGATTACCTCCCATGGTTCCTGACTTCTTTGCACACCAGAGGGCAGATGTACTCTGGCTGTGTTTGGTGGTCTATGTTGCTACCAGATACTGACTGGAGGTGGGGGGTGGGCCCACAATGCAAACGTTTACAGGGTGGACAGAAAGCTACTCATGGAGATGGTACACTTCCTTGTTAAGCTGGGAATGATGGGTATATGTGAAGTCCAAAACTCCATTATCGCTATAACCCCAATTCGATTGAACTGAAATTTTAAAAATATTTAATAAAAAAGATTAAAAACAGGATTCTGGAATAACCATCCCAAAATTATCACACAATCTACAGAAAATTTTATATCATCATCTTCAGGCCAATACAGGGAAGGGTCCCAGACCCTAAGAACTAAAAGTGAAGACTCTGAGGGAGTTCTTTGGGAACCACTCCACCCATAACATAATGGACCTACACAGACCTGTCCCTCCTATCATCACTTCTAAGCCCATGACTGACTGACAGGTCCAGGCACTCCTTCACTTCACCCTCTGGCAACCGGGAATGGAGGGTTGGAGGGTGGGATGCCTGAGGACAAAGTCTTGGCTTAAGGCTGGCTGACTCAAATCAGGAGATGTTCGAGTCCCAGACCTCCCAGGAGTCAATGAAAGACCTCTATGTGAGTTTTGCCAGGTCCTCCACCCCCACAAAACAGACTCCACCCCTCACCTCCAAGAGCCACACCCCTGCCCTCAGCACCATATGGGAATGACCGGAAGTAGATCCCCCAACTTCCGTCTCTGACTTCTCAGGGAAGTGAAAGTATTGAACCGGCTGGTGGCGTCAGGCGACCAGAACTCTTGGGAAGAGTTACAGGCCCCGTCTGGAGTTAGGGTAAAGACCCTGAATGAGACTTGAGGGTACACCCCCCCATCCCTCATGCTGTGCCCAGGGAACACGCACGCCCAGGCACGGGCCCGGGCACACACACACCAGAAGAGAGGGGGGCTGACAGAATCCTGGTAGGCCCTGGACAAGGATTACCTGATGTAGTGTCCTTTGAATTCCCCCTTTGTGGACAGAGAGTAGATGGTATCAGACCAAGGGTTGGCATTGGCCCTTCCAGCAGTTAAGTTGAGGACCCTAAGGTCTGAGGGAACCATCCGTGAGATGAGAAAGGCTAATCAAAACCCGGGCCCCTGCTGTGAGGCCTGGGAGACCCCTGATGGGAGTGGCTGGATATAATACACCCAGAATTCTGCCTCTCGTGTCTCAGGGAAGTGAAAGAATTGGTGCTTAGGGGACAATGTAAGTTAGAGGGAGAAGACCCAGACTCTGTCAGGAGGAAAGATAAGGACCTTTGTGAGGTATGAGGATACCCAGTATCCAGTGAGAGTGGGCTGCACAGAATCGGGCCCTGCCATCAGCAACAGTGGGCCTGGGGCAAAGAACACCTGATATAGTACCTTCTAAATTCTTCCTTTGTAGATTCAAAAAGGAGATGGCACTGGACCAAGGTTTCTGGCCTCAGGTCAATGGGTAGAAAAGTCCGAGGTCCTAACATAAGTAAAGGTGAGGACTCTGAGTGAGGTCCGAGTGACCTCCCACCCCCAAAAGATGGGTTTTCACAGAGTCCTGACACTGCTTTCAGCCCAGGGAGGGCCAAGGTGAAAGTGGTTGGATGCAAAACATCCTGAATTCCAAAATCTGGCATTTCAAAAAAGTGAATGGCTTCATGTAAGAGGGGCTGCTTTAGGTTATCAGAAGAACTACTTCTAGGTCCTGCCAGGAGGTGGTGTAAAAAACGTGAGTGAAGTTTGAGAGGACCCCCTACCGCAAAAGGTAAGGGGTCCCACAGATTTCTGACAGGTCCCGGGCAGGAATTGCCAGATGAAGCATCCATTGAATTCTCCTTGTGAGAACTTAGAGAGGTGAGGGCATTGGACTGGAGCATCAGCCTTAGACCAGCAGATAGAGGAGTTACAGGTTCTAACAAGAGTAATGAGAAAGACCTTGACTAAGTTCTGAGAAAACCACTGACTTCATATCAAAGCAGGCCTGCACAGAGTACTAACCATGCTGTAAGCCCTCAGGGTATCAGACAGATATATCAGGGTAAGGGCTCCCTAATGACCTCCTCAGTAATTTTTTAAAATATAAGGGCCTTGTCTTAAAAAGATAAGTCTCACACCAGGAGAGGGAAGAGTACCAAGCCCTACCAGAAGACGAGGTGAGGACCCTGAGTGAGGAGTAAGGACCTAATTACCCCAGGATGGGGACAGTCCTTCTGAGCTCTTCCCTGATTGTCATCCTTGGGAAGATATGGTCAGTTGAAGTCTCCCTCAATTTCTCCTCTGGAATCAAAGGGAGATGAAATATTGAAATGAGGTCAGCATGAAAACAGTAAAGGGATTCCGGAAGCTGCCAGAAGCCAAGATGATAGCCCTGAAAGTGAAGTGAGAGAAACACACTCACCCCAGAGGGGCACCATAGAGTCTGGATATTCTAGGCCTTGCTGTCACCCCAGAAAGCCCCAGGCAGATCTGGCAGGTTGCAGTTTAAGGTGAACTCGTTACTTTCACAGGCTGAGAAGAGAGCATGAACATTGTGGATTCCTTGAGCAGTGCACACAAGAAAACCTACAGAGATAGCCATCAATAAAGCCAAGGCGGCATCCCCCTATGAAGGGGCACACACCATCTTATCCTCTTTCCTCCAGGTCACTGGTTCACCTGTCCACATCTCTGCCGCACCTGAACAGAGTCATCATGCCTCGGGGTCAGAAGAGTAAGCTCCGGGCCCGTGAGAAACGTCGCCAGGCCAGAGAAGGGCCACAGGATCTGGTAAGTATTCAAACCACTGCTCAATTGCACTCCTCTTCCTCCCCTCATTTTGAGGACATTTCCTTAGGGCTCACCTGCTGAATCATTTGCAATCCCCAGGGTCCTTGGACAGCCACATTCACCACCAGTATGGCAGCCGTGTCATACATGAGATCAGATGAAGGCACCAATGAAGTACAGGAAATGCCAAGATCCTCCCAGAACCCAACAGCCACTGAGCCCTTCAATAGAAGCCCTCTAGGGGAGAAGGTGTTTATATTGGTGTACTACCTGCTGTACAAATATCAAACGAAAGAGCCCATTACCAAGGCAGGTATGCTGAGAAATGTAATTCAGATCTACAGGAATTACTTCCACGTGATCCTCAGGAAAGCCTCTGAGCACTTGGAGCTGGTCTTTGGCCTTGACATAAAGGAAGTGGATCCCAATAGGCACATCTATGTGCTAGTCAACAAACTGGAACCAAGCTATGATGGGAAGCTGAGTAGTGATAGTAATGTGCCTGAGACCGGTCTGCTGATGACCATCCTGGGAGTGATCTTCACAAAGGGCAACTGTGCCACTGAGGAGCAAGTCTGGGAAGTGCTGAATATGATGGGGTTATACCCTGGAAGGAAGCACTTCATCTATGGAGAGCCCAGGAAGCTCATCACCAGAGATTTGGTGAAAGAAAATTACCTGGAGTACAGGCAGGTGGTCAACAGTGATCCTCCACGCTATGAGTTCCTGTGGGGTCCCAGAGCCCATGCTGAGACCAGCAAGATGAGAGTTCTTGAGTTTTTGGCCAAGATCCATGATACCGTCCCCACTGCCTTCCCATTCTATTATGAAGAGGCTTTGAGGGATGAGGAAGAGCGAGCCCAAGCCAGAGCTGCAGCCAGGGCTCTTATTGCTGCCAAGGCCAGTGCACGCTCCAGGGCCATGGCCAGTGCACGCTCCAGGGCCATGGCTAGCAACTCCTCCCACACCTAGTAAAGTCTGAGGCAGATTCTTCATTTTGTTGTTAAAAAAAAAAAATCCATGTTCTCATTAGTGGAAGGTCAGGGTGGGGTAGAGACAACAGTGTATAACACGTTTATGTTCCTATTATATATGTTAATTTTTAATTGTTTTTCCTTTTGATAGAAGGTTTATTAGCTTCAAAAATCCAAGTTTATGAATGACATTTTCAAATTTGTGCTGTGTATGAGATTTAGGAGTAAGAAATAGCTATTTTGTAATCCAAATTGGGAAATTCCTAATCTTATTTACTGATTTGGAACATGATAACATGTCAGTGGATTAGTCATTTCCTTGGAAATGTAAAAGAATTCAGCAGTAAAATACTTGGAGTCAAGAAATAGAGAAAAAAGTAAAAGATGGCTAAATATTACATTTTCTTTTCACTTTTAGTTTAAAACTAAATGATATTGCCTGTATACATATACATATAGATTATTTAAGAATGTAGAATTAATTATAGCATAATAAATTAGACCTCTTGCACACTGTCTCATTTATTTCGCAGACATTCCTTCAGCATCTGCTCTTTGGGAGGCTTCCTGCTAGTACTGGGAGTGTCAGGATAAACAAGACCCGCCCACTGTGCCCATAGAATTTTAGAGTGTAGAAACAGCTGTCAAGTAGGAAAGAGGATGGGATACACCCTAAGACCTAAGAACAAGTCAAAAGAAGGAGAGGACATGGGAGGATCCAGATGTGAGAAGTCAAGTGTAAGCGCCCTGAGGCCAGTGAGTCTGAGGCCTTGGGAAACTGCAAGTCGTTTGGTGTGAGTCAGTTTTACCTGAAGCTGGGTGGTGGATCAGATGAGGCTGTGGGAGTCGTGTGCGGGGGCCAGACCCTCAGAAGCTGTGTCCAGAGTTAAGAGGCTAAAGCCTGGAATGGGGGCGCCTGGGTGGCTCAGTCAGTTAAGTGTCTGCCTTTGTGGCTCAAGTTATGATCCCAGGATCCTGGGATCGATCCCCACATCGGGTTCCCTGCTCAGCAGGGAGCCTGCTTCTCCCTCTTTCTTTGCTCCTCTACACTCCGCTCTTTCTCTCTCTCTCTCCCTCACTCTCTCTCTCAAATAAATAAAATCTTAAAAAAAAATAAAGTCTGGAATGGAAAGCTATTTCTAACAATTACTTTTTAAGACCGTGAATTAACCAGAAATGGGGCAGAAATGAAAGGTGCCCTGTGCTCTTGCTTAGTGCAGGTGAACACAGTGCACAAACTAGGTATTTTATGTACATTGTCTCCAGGGAGTCTCTGAGAAATAAGAGTAATTAATAATGCCTTAACCTGTGATGCTCAGAAGCCACTTGGCTGGCAATCTTTGACTTGCACTGTCAAAGAGAGCTCACTCTGTTAATAGGGTATTTATATTAGGTTATCTTGAGTGTAAATTGGCAAATTCAAAGCAAGAGATAGATGTTTTGATGGGAGTGAACCAGGCAGTCCTTCACACATTTTCTATGAATGTTCTATGCACCCAGCTGGGGAAGATTATCCCAACTCACAATAAAAATCCTCAAAATGTTTCTTAGCAGGTAACTTACTTTTACTTAGTAATAAGTATTTTGGCTGATTTGGTGTGCTATGGACTAGAGCTATGTATTGCTATGGATATTCTCTGACATCTCCAGGATAAAAATATATTTTAAAATTCTAAGATAGGAACTTGGTAGTATTTGATGTCAGAATTTTAACACTAATAACTGCTAATTATCAAAGATCCAAAAAAGCCATTCACTGTACCAGGTACCTTACATAAATTACTTAACATTCCAACAGTTTGACTTCACACGGTTTCATTGAGCCAGAGAGCAAGCTGACTACATCAAGCTTATTTTGCAGATGAGAAACCTGAAGCACACATAACTGAAATTTTCATGACTTCACATGTTCCAGAAAAGACAGGCCTGAGAATTCCTGGCCTGAATTCCTCTGGAGCCCACACTGTTTCACTCCTCCCAGCATGATGTCAAACTCATGTCTCTTAATTACTTTCTCTTCTCACTATTCCATGATGGCTCTCAAGCAATGAAAGAAGGACCCTGTGGCCGGGGCGCCTGGGTGGCTCAGATGGTTAAGCGTCTGCCTTAGGCTCAGGTCATGATCCCAGGGTCCTGGGATCGAGTCCCGCATCGGGCTCCCTGCTCAGCGGGGAGCCTGCTTCTCCCTCTGCCTCTCTCTGTCTGTCTCTTATGAATAAATAAAATCTTTAAAAAAAAAAAAAAAGAAGAAGAAGGACCCTGTGGCTGAAGTACTAAATGCAGGCCTAAAGAAGGAAGGTGTAAATGAAAATCAAGGACAAGTTGGGGATTGTCCATGGGTTCATTTTCCTAGGATCCTCCTGCCCCTCGCCCCAGGGTCCCTTGAGAGCTGGCGCTGCCCTGGTCCCAGCACTTGTGTTTAGTCCTGGCACTTTCCTGCATGACAGCTCCCTCCCCTGGGACTTTCCCAGTGGCCCTCATGACCAAACTGGGACCTGGCCCATTGGCCAGCTCTCCTGTGTGTCCTCCTCTGGAGGCTGCCCCTGCGCCTGGTGGCACAAAGAGCCACTATCCCTTGCCCTCCCCTGACTTAGAGCATTGCAATTCCTTGCAGCTCCCATCCCTCCCCCTGGCCCCTCTCTGACAGCAATTGCCCTTCTGTGTAATTCTGACAGGTTTAGACACCTCCTCACCTCCATCCCCCACCCTGGATACCTCCACCACATTCACAGAAGTCTGTTTTGTTTTTTTAACCAAATCTGCTGATAGGTAGACTCTAATCTGACACACAGAATATACTGGCTATAATATCCTGGAGAAAATATATATTCATGAAGTTAGAGAGGAGGTAGTAGGAAGAAGATAAAATTATAAATAAAGGAGAATTAAAGCTGATGAATTATTTGAGACTGGCCACTAAATCCACACACTGATGAGTGAGCTTAACTGTGTGGTCAAAAACCAAAGCCTCCCTCCTACATGGTAGATGAGAAAGGACGGGAAATCACTGTGTAGCAACCATCAACACAGACTGAATGTTAACAGATCCTGTAGTTTTTCAGAAGTTATAGTAGTTTTCTATGGCTGCTGTAACAAATTACCACAAATTTACTGGTTTACAACAGCACATGTTTATTATCACAGTAGTTATTATCTATATTTCTGTAGGTATGAAAGCTGGGAAGGCTTTGCAAGATTCTGTGCTTGGATTTTTGCAGCCCCGAGTCAAGCTTTCAGAGAGGCAGGCCTCTTATCATGATTTCTGGGAAGAATCTCCTTCCAAGATCATTCAGGTTGTTGGCAGGTCCAGTTCTTTGTGGTAATAATACTGAGGCCCTGTTTTCTTTCTTTTGGTTGTTTTGTTTTGTTTTGCTGTCAGCTGGAGCTGACAGCGTTTCTCCAGGCCTCTCTCCAGTCCTGAGCCCATCTACTTTGAGTCAGCAATAAAACATTGTATCCTTCTCACCTTTGGAATCTCTCTAACTGCCCCCCCCCCAACTCTGCTGCATCCAGCCAGAGAAAGTTCTCTGCTTATAAGGGCTCATGTCATTAAATTGGGCCCACTCTGATAATGCAGTGTAATCTCCTTATTTTAAAGTTGTTTTCATAACCTCACTACATCTACAAAGTGTAAAAACAAATTCACAGGTTTCAGGGATAAGGGTAGGGGTATCTTCATGGAGCAATTTATTCAGTCTATCACCAAGGTGGAAATGTCTCCCCAGCAGACATGCCACCTTCCTGCCCTGACCTTTTCAATAACCTCTACAGTCTCAATACACTGAGAATTTTCTTCTTCCTTTTGCTGCATGGTCAAAATCCTGGATTTTTTTGTACACCTGTACAAGTGTTCAGTCATGTTCATCAAGTGGTGTATAGCAGAAACTCAAAAGTTGTGATTTTGACCATGCAGCAAAAGGAAGAAGAAAATTCTCAGTGTATTGAGACTGTAGAGGTTATTGAAAAGGTCAGGGCAGGAAGGTGCTATAGAGTGAAGAAGGATGATTCCTCCCTGCTGAGATTTCCAGTGTCCTTTAGAAAAATGGTGTGATCCTGTATTTGAACACCTGTCACATAGTAGGCACTTAGAAAGATGTGGAGTGTTGCAAGGCAATTTTGGCCTTCTGGGAAACTTCTCCAAGAATGAAGAGGGCTTTTGTCATACAAATTCTAAGTGTTGTACTCTACTGATGACCTACTCCGTAACTGTTTATAGAGAGACTGTAAGTGCTCTTCCACATCCTGTCTTGCTCTTCTTCCTGGGCTCATGGGATATACTATATTGTCAAATGCACTTGTATTAGAAAAGGTTTTGTGACTACCCTTGCCACCGAAATATGAACAGAAACAATGGTTGTCATCTGCAGACCAAGGCATTTGAGAGTCATTATGCCACTTCTATGCTTTCTGCCCCATTCAACAGAATCAAGGAGATCCTGTGTTGAGATGTTGATCCACACCGTGTAAGCAGACTCTATCCCTGGGTCACCAGACAGGAAGGATCCTGCCAACCCAACAAGCCTTATGTGTATGAGAAGTAAACTTTCATAGTGTTAAGTCATTCAGATTTCAAGCTTCTTCCATTACATTCATTAGCAGTTACTTCATCTGAGTAACACGCAGCTACTTTTTTTATTGTTAGCCTTTCTTAAATATACTAATTACAAAATAGTGCACATATTCTTGATGCTAAAGAAATTCTAAAAATATAGATAAATCAGTAAGTCCAATCCTTACTTCATCTTCCAAAATTCAGCTCTCCTCAGAAGTAACCACAATTTTAAAATGTTGTATATATTATTTTAAAATATAGTCTGGGCTTTTTCTTACATAGATGTACTAGAAAAATACAATGTGAGGGTTTTTTTAATGTACTTGGATAATGGTGTACATATGGTGTGCCATAATTAATTTAATCAGTCGCCTCCTGATGGACACATAAGTTGTTTTCCATTTGTTGCTATAACTAATAAAACTGATATCAACATTATTAAATAC